ATTTAAAAAAAAAAAAAGTAGTGCTTGAATGGGGTCTTGGTTACAATCTCATGGTCTTCAAAAAGTATTAACTTGGTGCTACTTTAATGAAAAAATAAAAGCTTGCCACAAGAGCAACTGATTGTAAATAACACACAGACCTTAACTAAGAAACGGGTTAGTATTTTGTTTTCTCAATCCCAAATACACTCAAATTATTACTGGCATTTTTCTTACGTTGTAAATTGGCTCTTTTTATATTTATAATGAAAAACTGCTTTGTTAGTACTATGTGAAACCTATGATTAAGAAACTCCCAGTAAATATTTACATTCAAAAATATTTTTTCTTTTATTAGTACCTGTGATTTAAAACAAACAAACAACCTCTTAGGGCCTAAGGCCTCCTTAATGTTGGAAAATTACAGGAGCATTTACATTTATTTGGAATTACTGAATGCTCAGAGCCTTAGAACTTACAAAAATTCACAAAATGCAGAGAATTTATTTTGTCCCCTTTTTAAAAGAAAACCGTAATTACACTAAGCAATTCATTCCTTGGCAAAAGAAGGTTTGAGTCTTAATTAAATCAAAGGCATTGTGAGAATTTATTAGTCTTGGTTTCACATGGAAACAATATTCATCTTTCATTGGTGAATATACTAGTATAATCAATTTACTGCTAAATACAAAAGATTTCTGAAATAAACTAAGATGAAAATGTTTAATATTTGAAAAGTTTGATCTGAAGGAAAGCACTCTAAAAATTATGTCCAAAATGTTCCTTTCTGTATAGATGTTACTGCTGAAGAACTGGAAGGTCTTAGAAACGACTGGAGTTGAGCTAATCAGTAGCCACAGAATCTGTATTTTCTTCTACGACTTCACTGTTTTAAGTTCCTTTAAAAAGAATCATAAATACTCAAAGCTACAGATTGATCTGAATTTCTGTTTATGAGATCTCTTTAATAACAAGTGATAGATGCTTCCTATAACAATTAAACAGTATAATGATAAAGAGTTAATAATTCTTCTAAATCCCACTCCATGAGATAATTAATGCTAACAATTATCTCACTCCATGAGATAATTAATGCCGAGTTTTTCCTCCATGCTCATTCAGCTACATATGAACATGTCATATATAAATATATATGAAAGATGACTACATCGCATGTGGGTTCTGTTTCTGGGATGCTGTATTTCTCCAAGAAGGCACTGAGTTATCATGAAACACAACAGGGGGCTCTTAAGCGAAAATTCAAACAGAAACAAGAACAGAACTTTGGCTAAAAGTACAGACATTTTTAGAAATCTGGCAAATACACCTGCCTCTACTAGTTAATAGTGTGTGTGTGTGTGTGTGTGTGTAATTAGTAATACTAGGCTGATGCTACAGCAATAAAACAAAACAGGCAGCAGGGAATCTGGTATGACGCCACCACTCCCATAGTATTTTTTAAGTGACAACTTTGGGATTTTAGCTTTCTATGTCTATACTTAAAAGAGATGAAGCCATAAAACTTTGCTTTCAAAACTTTAATCTTGGAAAAAAAGATGATTTGTGTAAAGTGATACTTCTTTAGTTTTTTCTTTAAATAGGAAAGGCATTCGGACGGAAGTGCCTTTAAATGTCTTGGTTTTTCTATCTGTGTTAGAAGATGTGGACTCCTCGACTCCCCTGATAAACATGGGGGGGGGAGCTATGTTGCAAGAAACTTCTTTCAAACAAAAATTAATTCCAAGCCAATTGTGTGAGCAAGTCTTACTGCACTTGACTTTGTTTTATGTTTAGTGAAAGACCTTGTTTCTTTGAATTCTGTATTAGAAGTTAC